CTTTTCTATACCTACGCAGAGCTCTCAGGTATTCATGTCACAGTTGCTACCTTAGGCAATTTAGAATTCTGAATCTCTTGTGGTGTTTGCTTTGTTTACTGAAGTTTCTCACAGATAACCCATGGCAACTTAGCCGGTGGAGTTGATAATAATGCGGATTTGACATTTCATGATGTCGAAGAAGAAGAACAAACACAGGTGGAAAAGCTCCCCGAGCATTCCTGTCGGTAAGCTTCATTTCATAGATCTGATTTTGAACTAGGATTTGAACATCCAGTTTCTCTTTTGTAGTTTAATAATTCTAGGCAAATGCTAGGATTGACCCTTTCTAGTACATAATATGTAGCTGACTTCCTGTTTTTCTTTCGTTGTACTTTTAATTTGGCCTTTCGATCAGTCAGCGCTAAGCGTTTGTAGTACCAAATTTTTATAGGTACTGCGGAATTTATGAGTCAAGCTGCGTCGCAATGTGTACGGTCTGCAATAGATGGTTTTGTAACGGTAAAGGAAGCACATCAGGCTCGCATCTGATCACTCATTTAGTGAGATCGCAGCACAAAGAAGTGAGGTTTTCTACCCGTGCTATTATATTAATTCTTTTACGTTAATTTCAAGGTATGCCTGCATCGCGAGTCACCTCTTGGAGAAACACAGTTGGAGTGTTATCAGTGCGCCTCTAGAAATGTGTTTATGTTAGGGTTTATCCCTGCCAAAGCTGATTCTCTTGTGGTGCGTTCGGGTACATTTAATATGCTACGTTTATTATCCATTAGTCAATCAATCTATCTATGCAAAAATTCAACGTACCAGCACTAATAAAGTTAATCAAATAAGCCATGGAGTAAAACTTAGCTGGCCACATTTGCACTCCTCATGTTCATTTCAAACTTCTGGCAGACTTATACTGTTACCTTAATTCTAATTGAAATTCTAGGTGATTTTGTGCCGGCATCCTTGTGCTCAAATTGCTTCACAGAAGGACCCTAATTGGCAAGGAGAGGAATGGAAGCCACTCATCCATGAAAGACAAGTAAGTTGAGTTAGATGATACGTCAATGATTATGAACTTATCCTCTTGTAGCTACTGTCTTGGATAGTCAATGTGCCGTCAGAACAAGCCCAGCTCAGGGCAAGGCATATAACGTGAGTTTTTTCTTATGACATGAGAAACAGTTGTATCCACTGTAAGTTTTAGGGCTGCTCAAGCTAGTCGTCTTGAAGACCTATGGAAAGAACATCCAAAAGCAACTGTAGAAGATCTTGATCGACCTGGGGTTGACACAGAGCCCGAAAGTGTCCTGCTCAGGTACAAAAGAGTTCACGGATACAATTCGTTTTTGAATATGGCGAACATTTTTAATAATGCCATAGCATTTCTTTCACTTCTTGCCCTTTGTAGATATGAAGACGCATTTCACTACCGACGTATATTTGCACCCCTTGTCCGAGAAGAGGCAGAGTTCGATAGGAAAACTAAGGAATCACAAACACAAAGTGTCGGGCATGTCCGGTGGGATCAAGGATTGAACAAGAAACACCTTGCATTCTTCCATCTCCCCAAATTCATGGAAGGAAGTAAGGAAGTTTTCGCTGTCTTTCCCTGAACTGTAAAGAAAGGGATTGAATTTCTATTCCACATCAATAAAAGTGTCTTGTTTTTTACTCCTTGTATAGAATCAAGCTTAATTGGTACGTATTTTAGGTGACCCTTTTTTCAGGCATGAAATTAATGATTGGAGATGAGTTGAGGCTGAAGCATACTCAAACCATTGAGAGGGAATGGTCATGTCTTGGACAAGTGTTTAAAATACCGGACAGTAAGTCCATGTTTCGCAACTTCCACTCATGTTATCGCAATGTCCATATATGCGAAATTTTTATCCACCTTGACTATGGCTTCGTTTTTTCTCCTTACCTGATATACTTTTTTTGCGCTGAATAAT